TCCCATTTACATTACCTCTCCCCCCCCCCCCCCCACACACACACACAGTAAGTGCCCGAGACGTAAACCTCCCTCAACACTGACCCCCGTTGAAAGTTCCTCTGCACTACAGAGCTGCCTCTGCCTCTCTCACACACACACAGCCCCTGATGTACGTTTCTCCACCAGCACGTTTATAATCCAACTGTAGAATTCGCTCCAGATCACAAAATCCTCGATCCAATTGTAACCCTGATCTGAACCCTCCCACTGTACACAAACTCAATGGATCATGCCTTTGCCGTTCACTATCACTGTGCACATTCCGTAACACAATCCACCCCTTTCACATTATTTTAAAAAATCTAACAATAACACTTCTGACGCACGCAATGCCAACATCTTGCATTTCGTCCACAAAATACGCAGTCACTCCACTTTACAGTATATTCTGTGAAGGATTTTGAGATGACTCAACAATGTGGAGTCCTGTAGCTCAGTGGTTAGAGCACTCGCTTTGCAAGCGAGAGACCTGAGTTCAATTCCAGGCAGAGGGCGAAACCTTGGGCAAGTTTCCTTACTCCACACAGAGCCTAATAATAATCCTCCAAAACCAAAACAATAATAAATTGGTCATTTTCAATCTACATTGCTGTGCACAATTGGCTGCCGCGTTCGCCCACAAATATACAGTCAATTCACTTTACAGTGTGTTCTGTGAAGCGCTTTGGGACGTCCTCCCGACGTGAAAAGCGCTATATCAAATGCAAGGATTATTATTATTATTATTAAGGCGCTGTATCAAAGTATTATTATTATTTATACAGTGTCCTTCATGCAGGTAGTGTCTTGGAATGCTGAACAGCGATGTTGTGGTTTGGCGCCAGTTGGATACGTGCTTTGAGAAATCTTGAAGACGTGATAAGGAGCTGCATCAAATGCAAGGATTGTTATTATTATTATAGAGAGGGGAGGTGACCGAAGGCACGGTCAAAGAGGAAAGTCTTCAGGTGTTATGAAGGCAGGAGAGGGGAGACATAGAGGAATTGAGGCATGGAGCTACAGTGATTTTCCGGGAGTAACAATCCCTTCAAAAAAATTACAATAATTTGGTCACTCACTCCTCGACTGTTTGTGGGACACTGCTGTGTGGAAATGGCTGCTGCGTTTCGCCGACAAAATATACAGTCAATTCACTTAAAGTCCTTTAAGAAGCGTTTTGAGACATCTTGAAGACGTGATAAGGCACTATATCAAATACAAGGATTATTAATATTATTATCATTATTATTTGGAATATCGTGGCTGAAATCACGGTAAACACCATATATGGAGCTGAATTCCGGGCACCTTAACTCTAGTGAGTGAGGGGTTGGGGGCAGCAACTAAGCAACTCAGTAACCCGACTGAACTGTTTTATCTTTAAAGGGAATTGATGAATGAACGATTAAATGGGCTCCGGCACAAGCATTCACTAACATACTATTTTTAGCCTCAGTTTATAGGAACCTTGATCCAAGCAAAACATTTCTTGGCAAAGTGGCTGTGTTTTTCAGGATTTCACTGCATTTTGCCCAGGAGCTGGAGAAACAGGATAGAGGGGGGGGTGGGGGGGGAAGGTGGCGTGGGGGGGGGGGGGGGAAGGTCTGGGTTACATCGATCAGAATGGGGCTTTTTATCTTTATTTATGTGGATGAAATGTCCACACGCAGCCTTCAAGAGAGTATTTGTTGCTACTGTACTCTTTTCAACATTTCATTTGCTCGTTCTTGTGGTGTATGATAATAACCCTTTCGTGCTCACAACTTCAAAACATCTCCTGAGACAGATCAGACACCTCTGCACGCTATTCGCTCTCGAGTGTAGTGACCGTGTGTTTAGGCTAACGCCACAGTCAATTTGCACACAGCTGGAAGATCACGTAAAGACCCTTGAAGTGGGTGGCTGGGTGTTGGGGGCCAGGACCCTGGGAGAGAGAAATTCCCTTTTCTCTTTGTGTCGTGTGATGGGAGTCCCTAGGGTCGTGGTTAGCACGCTTGCCTTACAAACTAGAGGATCCGGTTTTGATTCCCGGGTGGGGTGAAACCTTATGCAGATTTCCTCACTCCACACACACATGCCTCTGTTCACCTAACAGTAAGTGGGGACCCGATTGTTAGCCGATTGGTGGATCGCGGTGAAATAATTCCTCGGAAAAAAAATACTGGTCGCTCAATCCACGACTGTTTCCGAGCCACTGCTCTGCGCAATTGGCTGCCGCGTTTCACCCCCAAAACACCCGCTCAATCGCTATACAATTTATTCTGGGGAGCGCTTTGAAACCTCTCAACGCACGTGGTAAGGCGCTGTATCGAATTCAAGGATTATTATCACTCTGCGTGTCCCCTCTGTGGCTGAGGGGCACGCTTGCGGAATCTGGATAAATGCACAGCTCAGTCAAGCGTAAAACAGCGATTCTCAATCGCTCCCATTATACACGTAATCCATTATATGCAGAAATCTCATTGTAACATAAAAGTCTTGTATCTCACCCACGTCCATTATGAACCATGGAATCATTATTCCGACCAGAGCATTACAATGAAACTACCGTTAAATATCCTATCTGTACCCCTTGGTGTGAAGTTCCAGGCAGAATTGATTACACATTATCACACGATTTAAGGAACGTCCCTCCTAAAGCTTTCATGTCCAATGCAATCGTGTGTTCGTTACAGCACGTTTCATCCAACGCCCCTCAGGGAAAGCAGCCTGCTCGCTTTCTGCAGCTCACTTCCTTGATGATTTCCCCCCATCATACAAACAATGTTTGACGGCACTCTCGCCTCGGAGTCAGAAGGTTGTGGGTTTAAGCCCCTTGTCGGAACAGGCCTCGGGGAGCGCTCCATTGTCACGAGGTGCAGTTCTTCGGATGAGCCATTAAACCGAGGTCCCATCTGTGCCTGTTCAGGTGGACGCTAAAGATACCATGGGGCTATTCAAAAAGAGAAGGGCATTTTTATCTTCCAGTGTCCTGGCTGACAATCCCCCCAGAAAAAATCGGTCACTTGCTTCATGGCTGTTTGTGGGACATTGCTATGAGCAAACTGTCTGCCGCCTTCGCCTACAGAACACTCAGTCACTACACTTTACACGTCTGAGTGAAATCCTGTGAAGGGCTTTGAGATGTCTTGACAACGTGATGAGGCGCTGTACCAAACACAAGAAATATAATTGGAGTTGAGGCACAGATCAGCCATCACCTTACAGAATGACGAAACTGGCTTGAGGGGCTGAATGGCCTACTCCTGATCCTACGTTCCTATTGTTGTGGAGTCCTGTTTCTCAGCGGTTACAGCACTCGCCTTGCAAGCGAGAGACCTGGATTTGATTCCCGGCAGGGCGAAACGTCGGGCAAGTTTCCTCACTCCACACTCCTCTGTGGGACACTGTTTGTGAGACGCTACTGTGTGCGCAATTGACTGCCGCGTTTCGCCCACAAAAATATATGCAGTCAATTCACCTTATTCTTTGAAGCGCTTTGAGACGTCTCGAAGATGTGATAAGGCTTTACATCAAATGCCAGGATTATTATTATTATTAGTGATATTATATTATGATGCAAAGTGCTTTTCAATTCAGCCTCTATTGTTTGTCAGGTTTAAGTCTGCCTCAGGGGCTGATATCACAGAGGGGGAGAGAGAGAGAGAGAGAGAGAGAGACGTCTGAAAATTGAGTTGGCTCACGGGATCTGCGATCAGTCTGGTGGCTAATAAATGGGGAGCATCTGACCCAGTTCTGGGGATGCAGTTCACCTCCTTCAGGCCGTCCACCCAGTCTGTCCCTTTAATCTCCTCACAGGCAATGAATGGGCATCAGCTGACACAAGCGATTATCTCAGATCAGTGATCTCATTCTTCACGTGACCGATTCATTGGGAGCATGTGTCAATGCTACACTGACACTGACACGCACACGCGCACACACACAGAGACACGGACACAAGACACGCAAATGCACGCACATGCAGATACGCCGCGCGCACGCACATGCACGCGCAAACATACACACACTCGCACAGATACACACATACACACTCAGACACACACACATAGACTCAAAAGAACACACACGCGCACACACACAGATGCGTCCCTCATTATCACCACCAACTCTGCCACCACCACTATTCCACAACTTTGTCTTTTGTGTTTGCAAGCCAATAATCGCCGAGATTTTCTCACGGCTAACCACAAAATTGACAGCTCCAGAGGAGAGAGGAAACCTTTCCTTCTGAATAATTAGCCAAATGAAATCGATTAACGTTTACAGGACGCCTGACCACCAATAACAGTGACAACAACTTGTGGTTGGTTATACAGCAGGCGCTCTCTGAACCCTCAGACAAAATTTAAACATGTGAAATTTTAATTGGCATTGAGAAAGCAAACAGAAGACAATAGCCTCGGACGCACTGAGACAGGGGGACAAAGGGATGCGGGTTTAAGAGTTTTTCCTCTGTTATAGCGCAGCGAGAATAGTTAATGTCCCCCGACAAACACAAACGGGACCTCAGTTTGACGTTTTATCTGAAGGACGGCACCTCCCTATTTCGGTTCCAGGTCCCAATGTGGGGCTTGAACCCACAATCAAAGGTGGCGACAGTGCTACCAACCGAGGCAGCCTGACACACTGTATATAGTATATATAAAGTGCTCTCAATGGGCAAGCTATGTGGTTTTAGCTGGTTAGACTCCAGCAGTTACTCCCAACACTGGGACCTGGGATCCCCCAAGCCTTGGCTCTTGCAAACCTGCGCCTAACACTTTCCGGAATTAGGTAAACAGGATGCATCCCTCCACGGAGAGAGAGAGAGAGAGTTTGTGCATTTCATTCCAACAATCTATCGCTGGGATTTCCATGTGTGGGTGGGTTGAGGGAACTCTCAGCTTGGTTTGGATGCTCTTAAGCAACGGTGATGGGTTTTCACATGTGTCAGACACCCGGCTGGGCACAAAAATGTAGCTAAACCGGGGAAGTACCTGTTAGCAGCGAGACGCAGTGGAAGACATTCTGGAGCTTGCTGAGGAGGACCGAGGTGAAGCTGTCGGAGGCCAAACTGCCCACGTCCCGGGAACATTGATCGTACACCACCACTTCCTGCTTCCCCTCCAGCTCGAGCTGCGGACAGAAGCGCACACACACACAGACACACGTGAGCGAATAGTGAACCTGTGGAACAGGCTCTCTGGGGAGATGGTTGAAGTACTTAAAGCAAGTGATGATTCCTTCAAAATCAGATTAGAGAGTTTTCTTTTAGGAAATAACATTAGGGGATAGGGAGTTTGGGATACATGTGCAGGCGACGGCTGGGAAGATGGACCTTGGTCTTTTTATCGTCTAGCAATTCTCACGTTCTTAATGTAACCCTCGCATTCAATGCCACACGCATAACAACAAACAACAACAACAGCAGCGCCTCGGAGTACCTAACACTGGCGGGGGGCGCCTGATATCAACCCGGGTGGGAGGGAGGAGGTGACTGTAAGCACGGTCGAAGAGGAAGGTCTTCAAATCTCAAAGCCTCCTGAAGCGTTTCACAGGGAACCGGCTGTCATGGTGTAGTGACTGTGTATTCCGTGGGTGAACACGGAAGTGTAGTGACTGTGTAGTTTGCAGGCGAACGCGTCAGCCAATGTGAGCACGGCAACATCCCCCCCCCCACTACCACCCCACCCACAAACAGGTGAACGAGTAATCTTATCGGGGGGATTGCTGGCCGGGACAACTTATTTTCCTTTTGAATAGTGCGACAGGGTCTTTAACACCCGATGAACTGGACGCAGAGGGGACCTTGATTTAATGTCTCATTCGAAGGGCGGTAGCTCCAACAATCTAGCGCTCCAGCACCAACCCCCCCCCCAACCCTCGCCCCCACACAACCCCCTGCACTGTGCTGGAATGTCAGCCTAGACTGTGAGTTTAAAGTCTCATTCGACTCAAATGCTGGATTCATTACCCCACCCCCCCAAAATCAGAATGTGAAACCAGCCATTTGGGAGGAGGGAGAGGGGAGGCGGAAAGAGGGGGAGAGGTTTAACTGCAGTTTGGATGACTTTGATATGATGAGATTTTGGCTCAGGGATCAACCTGGCACAAGAGGGGGAAGCGAGTCACGGATACTTTGTAAAAATAGCTGAGAGAGGAGGAGATTAAAGGATTAGCAATGAGGTCAGGAGTCTTCAAAGAGCATTTACAAAGAGTTAAGACTCTGTTCGCACTGATGTTGGGCGTGAGGTGTGCAAGTGTGGATTGCACTCACCGATGTACACACGCACACTCACACACACGCACTCTCTGTGTGGCAAGCTTGAGGGGAGGGGATTTGAAAGGGATTTATTCAGACGTGAAATTGGATTAGAAGCGAATGCAAAGATAATTAAGACTGGAGACTCGAAATTCCACCCTGTTTTTGCCTGGTTCACCAGATTGCCCTCAAAACAACTACTTCAGTGAGCGAGTAGTGAACGTATGGAACAGGTTCCATGTTCTAGGGAAACTGTGGAAGCAGAAAGTGTTGTTTCTTTCAAGAACAAATTAGACAAGTTTCTGTTAGTCAATAATATCTAGTTTGGGACACGACTTGTGCGAGCGACTTCCCAGGATAGTGGAAGGCAAAACTGGATGGTCTTCGGTCTTCTTTTGCCGAACAAGTTCTTAAAACGTAAAGGGTGGTGAAAAATTCCGGGCTTAATATGTCGGCCTATTTTCTGAAGCGCGGAGGAGGTAGCTTCAAGGTTATAATAATCCTTGCATTTGATACAGCGCCTTGTCACATCGATGAGACGTCTCACAGCACTTCACAGGATGTAATGTATAGTGGAGTGACCGTGTATTTTGTGGGCAAAACTCGGTAGCCTTGTCCCATTCCCCTCTCCCATCAGGTGCAAAACATAGTTCTTCACATGCTCTACCGTTGACTGGCGGACCTTCAGCCACTTTACCCCCACCCTCTAGAACTCCATCCCGCAGTCCCTCCACCTCGCTCCCTCCCTTGCCACCCGTCTCAAGAACCTCCTCTTCTACCGCGCCTTCGATCACCCTCCTTACCCCCCTGCCCTCCACTCTCCCCGATCCTGACGCCCAGCTCGGGTCCGAAAGGCTGATTGTCCAGCGCCTTGGGACGTCCTCCCAACGTGTAAGACACTTTAGAAATGTAATTTTGTTGTTGTTGTTCCTATAATGATCAGTGCAACTGGGACTGTTAATAAGACTATTCACAAATGGCTTGACAAAATACCTGGTGAACAAAATATCATCTTCCTGCACAAAGTAGTTATTTTAGGAAGCTCAAAAATATTGAGAAAAGTAACATTCATTCAAACGAATCGTGAAAGTGTTAATTGGTCTGGCTGACCATCACTGAAAACCTCAGCAGACTGATTTAAACTGTAATAACCTATTGATATTAATAATAAATAATAATAATAATAATAATCGTTGCATTTGTTACTCAAAGTGCTTCACAGGATTCACTGTAAAGCGTAGCGACTGTGTTTTTTGCAGGCAAATAGGGCAGCCAATTTGTGCACAGCAAGTGCTTCGGGACTCTACCCTGGGTGAAGGGCGCTATATAAATGCAAGTTGTTGTTGTTATAACCACAAATAGCTGTGAAGTGAATGACTGATTTTATCTGGGGGAGGTGGGGTGGTTTGTGTGTGTGGGGGGGTGGGTGGCGGTTGGCCTGGGTACTGGCCAGACAAGAGAAACTCAGCGGTTCAAAAAAANGGATGAATGAACAGTTGACATTCCCCCTTCTCCCCTCCCCCCGCCCGATTAAAATAAAACTGGGACAACTTATTCCTCTGTCCTACTTCCTCCCGGAGCAACAGGATTCCAGGAATATCAGAACCAGATTCATACTTCAACGCTCGTTTATTTTGGGAATGTTACATCACGGCTGGTCCTGAGGGCAGGGAGATGCTTACAAAACTCTCCCAGGCCCCCAAATTCCACCTAGTCCCAGCTGTGGAGTCCAATTTGGGCTTACAGCAGCGTCCCACAACCAGCTGGTGAAGTGAACGACCAGTTTTATCTCGGGACGTGTGTGCGCGGGGAGGCAAGGGAAGGGAATTGTTTGCCAGGACACTGAATTACCCGCTGCCTCCGCTCAGCCGGTTCCAGCCTCCTGCTCGTCCCTCGCACCACCATCGGCGGCCGTGCTTCCAGCCACTACTCCTCGAAGCTTTGGAACTCTCTCCCTCAATCCCTCAGCCTTGTCCCCCCCTCCTTTAGATCACAACTGAAGACCTTCCTATTCGACCGTGCTTATGGTCACCCTCCTCCTCGGCTCGGCGTCAGGCTCTGCCACTGTAAAGTGCTCCGAGACGAAGCTAAATAAATGCAAGTTGTTGCAGCTGAAGAGCGTGTAAATCCAGCAGGTGTTTCTCAACTTCCTGAGGTGCCAGAGCACTTGAAACTGTCTGCAGACACGTACCAGGGCTATCGGTCTCATGTTCACCAGCTCACTGAGCTCAGCCAGAGAGCTATAGGGTTGCCGCAGCTGATACTTGTCTCCCTAGGCAACACAGATAGATAGAGAGGGGGAAAAACAAACAGCAAGCTTCCTTATCCTGATCAGTAGTCACTGCCCAAGAGTGACTACAAAGTACAGCCACAACCCAGGTGTCTAAGAGGGATATGGATAGGCAGGAACTGTATCATAGTGGTTAGCGCGCTCTCCTCACCAGCGAGAGGACTCTGGTTCCATTCCCAGGCCGAGCTGAATCTTAGGCAAGTTTCGTTACTCCACACGCCTCAGCAATAAATAGCATCCCTTTCCAGAGGTCATAATCCCTTTTTAAAAAAAAACGACCGTTTGTGGGACGCTGCTGTGCTCAATTGGCTGCTGCGTTTCTCCCACGAAATACGCAGTCAGTTCCCTTTGCCGCACATTCTGTGAAGCGCTTTGAGACGTCTCGACGACGTGATAGGGCGCTATATCAAGCGAAAGCATCATCATTATTATTGTTGACACCTGCCTCGCCAGATAAATCGCCGTCTGTAGCCATTTGTGGAGTCGTAATAATGAAAATAACAATAATCGCCACCACCACTCGCGTCACTTGATGCAGCACCTCATCGCACTGTTGAGACGTCTCAAAGCCACGATACTGATAGCGCTACGTGGAGATTGGTTGCTGCATGCACCTCCAAAGACACAGTCACTACACTTGGCAGAAACTCCCTGTGAAGTTCGTTGAGATAGTTTGCGTTGGTAGACAAAGGCAAGATTTATTCATTGTTGTTATTAAAGAGTACAATCGGGTTTTCTTTGTGAAAGGAATCAAGAGTTCCTATTTTCAGTGGCGCCCCCTGGCAGCAAACCGTGCAGATGACAAACAGCTACTCAAGAGAAGCAGTGAAACTCTTCCAAGGTCACAGGAACAGCCCAGGCTCTGTAGAGGACTGTTCAGTGCTGCCGCCATTCATTCGCCACTAACCATTAGTCACCTCGTATCATCGGGGATCTCAAAGGAAAATAAAAAGCACTTCCTTTTAGATCCGGGGAGGTCATCAACTGGGAGATAAAGTGTGCCACAGTCGCCGCGAAAAAGGAACAATTAGCTCTTGTATTCTTTCTTTTAAGTGTCGGATAGAACGCTGCCATGACAGTTGAGTCATTTCATGTGACTGATTGACTGACGACTGATTGACCGACTGACTGACCGACCAGCCCACCACCTGAACCGCGTGGGTCTATCAGGAGCACAGAAGACCCTCAGTAAAACAGGCGTTTGGAGGGAAAGATAATGTGACAGGATTTTGCCTGAAACGCACAGTCACTACGCTTCAGAGTACACCCTGTGGCCTAAACGCAGAGCCAGTTTTGCCCACAGCAATGTCCTACAAACAGCCATGGAGTGAATGACCGATTTTATTTGGGGGGATTATTGGCCAGGACAGACCATGAGAGAGAAACTCCTTTCTCTTTTCAAATAGTATCGTAGGATATTTAGCGTCCACCGAAAAAGGCAAATGGGACCTTGGTTTAACGTCTCATCCAAAGGATGGGGTCTCCGACAATGCAACACCCCAGTGCTGCATTGGAGAGCTCTGCGATTCCAAGTCCCGATGTGGGCTTGAACCTACAACCTTCTGACTCAGATGTGAGAGGGCTACCGCTGCACCAGGCTGACATGTCCTCTGGAAACTATAGAAACATAGAAATTTATAGCGCAGAAGAAGGCCATTCGACCCATTGTGTCTGTGCCTAAAAGAGGCTGACCTGAAATGCGCTATCACGAATGTGAGGATTATTAATTATTATTATTATTATAACCAACAATAATAATCGTTGCATTTGATATAGCACTTTTCACGTCGGGAGGACGTCCCAAAGCGCTTCACAGAACACACTGTAAAGTGAATTGACTGTATATTTGTGGGCGAACGTGGCAGCCAATTGCGCACAGCAATGTCCCACAAACAGTCGTAGATTGAAAATGACCAATTTATTATTGTTTTTGGTTTTGGAGGGATTAGGCTCTGTGTGGAGTAAGGAAACTTGCCCAAGGTTTCGCCCTGACCTGCCTGGAATTGAACTCAAGTCTCCCGCTTGCAAAGCGAGTGCTCTAACCACTGAGCTACAGGACTCCACGAATGGACTAAGGAAGAGTCTCTGAAACCACTGACGGGTCTCTGCTCGTTCATTCCTCGACCTCCACCAGCAGCTGTCCCTAGCACCAGAGTCAGGCGGTAATTACAGCCCAGCAAAGCTGTCTATGTAAAGGGTGTTCACAAAGTCCTGTTACCCCTCCTCGTGATTTTTTCCTGACAATGAATTTTTATTTTCTGTTGGTTGAGTCGAGTGTAACAATGTCTGACGCCAGTAACTTCCTCCTCATTGACTCCAGCCATGTTACAGAAGATTCGGCGCCGAACATGGCAACAGATCTGCCGTGAAAATGATGGCGCTCACGCTCACATACACACTCACACACGCCTACTCACACACACACACTCACAAACGCATACTCACACACTCACACACACTCAAAACCACTCGCATGCACACTCGCACTAACTCAGACACACACTCATTGGCTCACTCACACTCTCACAAACACACACACATACTCACTCACGCACACACTCACGCACCCTCTGGACGTCTAAACACAGTTAAACACTTGTACTGAATACAGTTAAATACTTTTAAACACAATGATCATCATTCTTCCACATGTTTCAGTTATTGGTCAGTGCGCTGGTAGAAAAAAAATCCGTGGGGGTAACAGGACTTTGTGAACACCCTGTACAGTGAACAGTTACAGTGTGTGCTCCGAGAGGCTACTCCGCGTGTAGGTCACTGTATAAAATGCAAGTTGTTGGAATTCAAAGCCTCGGACACAGACCGGGTCACCTCAGTTGCATCACGCTCAGTCATCAGGGGTAACAGGACTTTGCGAACACCCTGGTGCATATTATAGCAGTGAGAGGATTGCTTGGTTGTAACACGCTGATCCCAGGCGCTGGAGGGAGAACTGGCCTGCTATCAGGCAGAGTGCCGAGGGCACGTACGCACAGATGTTTGCCAAGTCAGCTGCAAACCACATTTTGTCATTTACATCTTCAGCTCTGAGTCACTCCCTCATGTTTTCATTCACGTGCCAGGAGGCGGCACATCTCCCAGTGAGCGAGAGCAGGTTTGCAGTTACCTCACCAGCCAGGAATGTGCCGTAAATCATTACAGAGCCGCTCTCCTCCCCCTCCGCCATCCTCCCCACGCTGCTCTGATTGCCCCCTCCCCCTGCCGCGAGCCACCTTGAACACTACGCCACGTGGGTGGGGACGGGGGAAGACAGAAGGGGAGGTGGAGCGAGCGCTAATTTGCACCTCCCCCCGGAGTTTATTAACAATAATAATAATCCTTGCATTTGATATAGCGCCTTATTATGTCATTGTGAGTCTCAATGTGCCTCAGGATATACTGTAAAGTGGATTAACTACGGATTTCTGGATGAAATGGAGAGGCCACTTGTGCACAGCAGTGACCCACAAACAGTCGTGGATTGCGTGACCAAATTATTATTTTTGGGGCGAGGGATTATTACCCCCCAGTTGCTATCCACTGCCAGGTAAACAGAGGTGTGCGGAGTAAGGAAACTTGCTCAGGGTTTCGCCCTGTCCAGGAATCGAGCCCCAGGTCCTCTCGCTCGCTTGCGAGGCGAGGGCTCCAACCACTATGCTGTAGCACTCCACAACATACTGCAACGCGTGTATTTTGTGGGCGAAACATAATCTGGGGAGTTCGAGGGAGGAAATCAGCTGTATTTCCTCAGAGAGAGAAGAGAGGGAGAGGGTGCTAGAAAGTGAGAGAGGTCGGGTGAGAGTGAGAGAGAGGGTTAGGACAAGTGAGAGGGAGCGTGAAGGGGAGCGAGGTTAATGTTTCTGGATCTGAGCTCCTGATAAGGACACCTCCCCTGCTGGCTGTGTTATTGCCGGCTCGGAGCTCTGACCTGTTTTAGCTCCTTCCTTGGGAACAGGAACACCCAACGAGGGCGGTGATGATGTCCCTGTTCCAGCAATACCCCCCCACTCCCCACTCCCCAGCCGTGGCCACACTCCCCATCTGTGTCTTCACAAATCATCAGCTCAGCAGGTGGGCTGGACACCAAACATTCCCCCCCCCCCCCCCCGCCAACCACCACCCCACACACCAACTAACACAACCTCTCCCCCACCCCACACACCAACTAACACAACCTCTCCCCCACCCCACACACCAACTAACACAACCTCTCCCCCACCCCACACACCAACTAACACAACCTCTCCCCCACCCCACACACACAACTAACCTCCCCCACACACACCAACTATGCTCCCCCCCCCACACACACGCACCAATTCCTCCCGACATGTGTGCAAACCCACACACAACCCTCCCTCCGACACATGTGAGGGCACACACACACACACAGTCCTCCCCGCTCACCCCCATCCACAGCCTTTATCCCCACCCCCGCTTTGGGACATCCTCCCAAAAATTTGTTGTTGTTGTTGTTCTGCGTTGAAATGCCTGTGAGTCTGACCGATCAGGGAGGGGGGGGGGGCGGAGGGGGGGAGGTGAGGTGGGCGGTGGAGGGATGGCAAAGATGGGGAGAATAGGTATGACACAGAGGAATAAATATTGACGACGTGAGATGTGACACAGCGGTGTAGTAGCAAAGCCTCAGCCGGGAATCAGCCCCAAGGCTCAGCTTCACTCCCTCAGCAAATCACACACACACAACCATGAGCTCATCAACAGCCTATCACACTGACCTCCCAAAACTGCAGTAACTGCTACGCTCAGAGAGAGCGAGAGAAAGAGGGATAGAGCGAGAGAGAGAGAGAGAGAGAGAGTGCGAGAGACAGATAGAGAGAATTTCTGAGCGAGTTTGAAAAAGAGAGTGTGAGAAAAAGAGAGACGACTTCAGACGGACAGACAAGACAGACGTTGTGTGTGGGAGAGACAGAGAGCGAGAGATGGAAAGGGAGAGTGAGAGAGAGAGAGAGATTGTGAGCAAGGTAGCGTGGGAGACAGAGAGTGCAAAAGATGGAGAGGGAAAGAGAGCGACAGCGTGTGACTGAGAGAGAGAATTGAGGTAGAGAAATGGAGAAAGCGCTCCAGGAGACCCAACCCCATGTGAAGAGCGCTGTATAAATGCAAGTTGTTGTTGAGATAGGGATGAAGGCGGGAGGGAGGGAGGGAGGGAGGGAGGGTCGGTGAGGGAGGGAAGCAGGGAGAGGGAAGAGAGAGTCAGGGAACTGCAGCAGCAGGTGTGGGAGCTGGGGTTGTGGGAGTGGAGGGAGGGGGCATGGAGTGGGAGGGGATTGGGGGGTGGAGGGGCCCGTGTGAGTGTGAGCGCCATGGAGGGGGTGGAGGGGCACGGAGGGGGGAAGAGGGTGTGAGACGGTTGGGGACCTACCTTGGTCTGCCAGTTGGGTTGGATGAGCTCAGTGATGGCCATGCGGTCTTGGAGCAGGCGTCTCTTGACCAGTTTGGAGCAGCAGATGTTGACGGAGTTGAGCACGTGGGAGGCGTTGAACTCCACGAAGGAGCGGCTGTCGATCACCAGGACGCTGTGGGGGGCGCTCCTCAGGACCCCGGCCAACGCCCGGGGCTCCATGGCGCTCAGACTCACACGGGCGGTCATCGTGGGCCGAGGGCACAGGACAGGACTCGTTACCCCCCCCCAACCCCCACCCCAGCCCCCAGCCCCCACACCCCCCCCACACCTCCCACCTCCCCCACCCGGTCGACAATCGAGCGTCCTTCACAGTTTCACTTGGGGCTGTGCTGAGTTTCCGTGGTGACCTTTCACCTCTCCCAGTCGCTTCATTCTGCAAAACAATACAAAAGCCAAAAGCTAACCAGCGTTCCCATATCAACAATGGACGCCGTCTCCCCTCCCCGATTCCCCCCTTACCCCCCCCCCCACCACACACACACATAGACCCCCACTCCATGTCCCGCATGTCCCCCACTGGAGTCCTGTAGCTCAGTGGTTAGAGCACTCGCCTCGCAAGCGAGAGGACCCGGGTACGATTCCCAGGCAGGACGAGACCTTAGGCAAGTTTCCTAACTCCACACACACATGCGCCTCTGTGTACGCAGCAGTAAGTAGGAACCCGGTTGTTAGTCGATTGGGGGATCGCTCTCCGGGGGTAATAATCCCTCCCAAAAAACAAGCAAACAAAAAAATTGGTCACTGTTTGTGGGGACACTGCTGTGCGCAATTGGCTGCCGCTTTTCGCCCACAAAACACACATTCAACCCATTTTACAGCATATCCTGCAAAGCGCTTTGAGACGTCTCAATGATGTGAAAAGGCGAGGAACATTATATTATAGCAGTAAGTAGAAACTCCGTTGTTAGTCGATTGGCGGATCGCCTTTCCCTATAATCCCTTCAAAAAAAAATTGGTCATTCAATCCATGACCGCGTTAAGCCCACAAATTACACAATTAATTCACTTTACAATATATTCTGTGAAGCATCTCAACGACGAGATAATGTACTATATCAAATGCAAGGATTATTATTATCATGACCGATGAGAGAGAAGAGATAGAGAGAAATGCAAGGCAGCTGATTGCGTCAATCCCATGTTATGACTGAGACACACAGGATGTGTTAACGCTGATGGTGAAATGTTTTGGGGGGCAAACCAAACAAACAACTGCAACACCAACTTGCATGCATACAGCACAGGATAGCGCCTCAGAGCGCTGTGAGGTGGGATTCACAACAGAAACTCTCGGTCTGGTTTGGAGACTCTTAGGTGATGGATTTCTGTGCATGTCACGACACCTGGCTGATGGGTTTCCACGTGTGTCAGACTGATCACGGAGATGGTTTTACATGCGTGTCAATCACCTGACTGACATTTAAAAAGATGAATAAACTGCTGGTTAAGTAACCTGCAAACTTCCCAAAGCCAAGAGCTGACTGTTGCCTCTCTGAAAGCCACGGGGGCTCTGTGGAAGTTTGGAAGCAAATCTTGTGCCCTGTTTATTGAAGTGTTTAAAAATAATCCACAATATTATGTTACAGTTGTGTCATTATTACATCTTGCACTGTGTAACTCTAAAACTGCAATTTTGAATAATTCTCTTCACAAGTCTTACTCTTAATCCTCGCTCGTCTACAAAACACACAGTCACCTCACTTTGCCGACTTCACTTCCTGCCCCCAACACTCTGGAACTCCATCCCCAGATCCCTTTCGCCTCACCCCCTCGCTCTTTTCCTTCCTTCAAGTCCCATCACAAAGCTTTCCTTTTTGACCGTGGCTTCGGTCATCCCCCCACCCCTCTTGATTCCAACCCTTAGTTCAGATGCAAACCGATAACTGACCAGCGCCTTGGGATATCCTCCCGACATGAAAGACGCTGTATAAATGTAATTTGTTGTTGTTGTTGACGGTAAAATCCCGGGAAGCGCTTTAAGACATCCTCCTGACATGAACGGTGCTGTGTTAAATGCAAGAAATATAATTTAATATTAATATTAAGAATGATTAATAATAATTATTATTGTAATGAATAATAAAACTGGAACGTAATTATCTGAGGACAGTCTAATGAGCCACGCAGATCACAGGCAATGGAGACTTGTACAACTCTTGTGTTATTAGCTGGTGCTGGTGGTAGGGAGGAAATAATATGTATATATAATACTTAAGCCTTACATTTAACATTGCGATATTAGAAAGACATTCAAGCATTACTTTTGATGTTGAGATTTAGTCGGGGAAGATTGACATAAAGCTGGGTTGCCTTGCTATCCACACAAGTTAATATCAGAGGCTTCAGGGATTAGCATGAAGTCAGAGAACGGTTTAATCTCTGCCCATAATCTGGCACTCACGCAAATGGGGTTAATCCAGAATTTACTGAGCAAACTCAGTTGATTTCCTCCCTCTCTCCTCAGGTTACGTTTCACCCACAAAATACACAGTCACTCCAATTTACAGTATATTGTGGATTCCTGTAGCATATTGGTTCGCTCCCTCACCTCGCAAGCGAGAGGACCTGGGTTCGATTCCCGGGCATGGTGAAACCACAGGCAAGTTCCTTACTCCGCACGCCTCTGTTTACCAAGCAGTGAGTAGGAATCCAGTTGTTAGTTGATTGGCAGATTGCTTTCTGGGCGAGTAATAATCTTTTCAAAAAAATGTAAATAAAAAATAATAATTTGGGCTCACTCAATCCGTGACTGTTTGTGGGACATTGCTGTGCGCAATTGGCTGTCTGCAAAATATACAGTCACTCCACTTCACAGTATATTCTGTGAAACGCTTTGAGACGTATACCAACGGCATGATAAGGCGCTTTATCAAATGCAAGGATTATTATATTATTATATTAAACGACAAGCCACATGTTGAAGGAGATAAAGGGGATTTTTGCTCACGTTCAAAAATTGTGCATTCAAACAAAAAGAAATCTGCTCTTTGGAATACGTTTCTGGGATGCGAATAACACTCTTCCTTTTTCTCTTCCCGCTTCCCTCCCCCCCCGCCCTCGAAATGATCCACTTTAGCGACGAAATTCACCGAAGATTCGTCGCACGTAAGGATCGTAAAATTAGAACTCAGAAGGAGGCCACTTGGCCCATCGAGAGCCTTCTCGCCCGAGTTCGCCACTGTAGTCCCAATTCCCTGCAAAAATCACGGTGACCACCCCAGGAAACCCCAGGCTTAGCGGTCGCTGGGGGCAGAGAAATCTCTACCTGTAGACATTTCTTCCCACCTCCTCCACCCCCCACCCCCCATCCCACCCCACCCACACCCCACACCCCACACACACACACAATTAAATGCCCGCTCAGGACCAAGACACAGGCACCATTAGCAGTAGCCACGGTCTGCCGGTCAGCCCTGATTTCAGATGGGGATGGAGTCTCCCTAATGCAATTCTGCATTAACTAACTATGTTTCCGAACACATCAGGTGCTGGTGTTGGGGTGTGACATGTTTCTGCAGCAAACCATTGCAGAGCAGGTTGGATTATGTAATGGTATGGATTGCCTAAACTGGGCATATATTTTTTGAAACACACAGATACATAGTTACACACAAACAGATACATAGTTACACACAAACAGATACATAGTTACACACACGTACAGTTACACACACAGATACACAGTTACACACACAGATCCACATATACACACACACAGATACATGGTTGCAAACATAGATGCACACAGATACATAATTACACACATACAATTACACACAAACAGATACACACACGCACACACACACACACACAGACAGACACACACACACCCACAGACACAGATACACAAATGGCAATCGAGTCCTGAGCATTCACCTTCATCATAAGATGCTCTCACTTCCCCCTCCTCTCTGCCTCTCTCTCTCTCTCCATTCTACCATGGAAATAGAGAGAGAGAGAGAGAGAGGACACACACACACACACACAGACAGACACAGACACACAGACACAGACATGCAGAGGATCTTTTTGCTGCAACGAGAGGGGGGGGGGGGGGCAGAGATGCTGGAGCTTTGGCAAAGTCAGGAAGGACTGAGGTGTCCTGCAGGTGATGTGATGACATTCACATTCCAGATGGTATCATGAGCACAACATGAGGAGCTGAGTTTAAAGGGGGGGAAGGAGAGATGATGGGGGGGGGGGGGGGGGGAGGGGGGATTGGTGGGGAGATGATGATGATGGTGGTGGTGGTGGTGGGGGGGAGAGGGTGGAAAGATCACCTTCTGCATTCCCCCACCCTCCATTTCACAAGACATCAATAATAATAACAATAATAATAATAAAACACATTATCACAGTAAGTCTCTATAATAAACTCACCTCTTACTTCCAGGAGCTCCCTTTAATTTCCAAATGCACAAACCCCTCTCTCCTGGTCTCTCTCTCTCTCTTTTCTCTCCTTCAATCTCTCTCTCTCTCTCTTTCTCTACCTCTCTCGTCAATTTCACTGTGTCAGTTGCTCCACGAAATGCACCAAAGGGCAGATCACACAACTCGCAACGATGAGAGGACGAGACAGCCACATATTACAATGTCAACAGCAGCCACACACACACACACACACACACACACATAAAAAAAAGAGAGAGAGAGAAAGCAACACACAGCAAAAAAAAACACAGCAAAAAAAAACACACACAACGCAATCAAAAAGCCTTGCAAGATGCAGCAGCTGATTTTTTTTTGCAGAGAGGAGGAGGAGAAGAGGAGAGGAGGAGGAGGAGGAGGAGGGAGAGGAGAGGAGGGGGTTGGGGGTGTGTGTTGGGGGGTTAGGGGCTGGTGGTGGAGGTTGGAGGAGGAATTTACTGAGTGCTTGTTGACCATAAGCAATAGATAGACGTGCAATGGGGGGGGGGGAGAGAGAAAAGCACACACATAACTGAGAATGAAGCTGGAGATGAGGTCATTCTCTGTGGCTATATAAAGCCACATAGGATGGCGTCATTGCCAACCAATCAGCCCAGGTTTGTGCAGAGGGAAGTCACTCCAGTCTCTGTCCCTCCAAAGCCCTGGCTGCAGATTATAAAGGGAAGAGTTTTTTTTTCTCTCTCTCTCTCTCTCTCTCTGCAGCTACAGAGATTTAAAGGAACAGCGAGGGGAGCCTTCGCTGGCGAAATGCACGCGCGGTCAACGCACTCGACGGCGCACTCGGTCAAGGGCCCCGAGACGTCTCGAAGA